TCAAAATTAATTTTATGCAATGTTGCCAGAACTTGATTAATATTTCTTGTGTCCCCCCAAATAATTACAAGTGCGGTAGTTGATACAGCAACATCAATTAAATGAAAGCTAAATTATGAAATATAAATCAAGTTTCATTGTTTAACATAAAATTACATTGTAGCATCATGCAATTAAACCAAAAATAATAACAGAAATATCTCCTCGTTCTGTACATTTTCACTCCAACAAAACTTCGAGTTATCCTGCATCATTAATTACAAATTAAGTTGCGTATTTATTTAATTATGTGCAGTAAACTCTTTCGATTACTCCCAGCGCTGCTGCGCATTTGCAGCTGCAGAACAGCCAGCCGTCGCTTATGTACGGCAGCCATTTTATTTAAATTTTCATTTTGTGCTTTGCATTTATCTGTGTTGGTTTTTTATGTGTCGGTGTATCGGTGTGTTGGTGCATTTAAAATGTTTTAATTATGATAGCCAAGTAATTATTCTTGTCAAGATCATTTCTCATATTATGAGTTGGAAGCGTGTGTCTATATTAAAAGCTGTATGTTGATTGAGTGCAGAGGGGGGAAGTGGGCGAGATAAACGCATACATAAAATGATTTCATATGCCATATGTAAAGTATGTCCATTGATGTGTGGCCACACTTGCAGTCAGACAATGCCTGCTACAAACGATTATCTTTGCTGCGTAGCCATATTAACTAATTTGCATTTTGTTGTGTGTCGTTTTGCCTTTGCTTTTCTCGTTGCTACTGTTTCAACTGTTTCAACGGCTGCTACTGTTGTATTTACTGCTGCTGTTGGTACTGTTGTTCTGGCGTAGCTATCAATTTGCATACTATCTCAATGCATCAGTCATAACGAGTGAGTCGTAGTACACAACATAAAAGCGGAAACGCATGGCAACGTTCGTTTGACATCATCATCATTCTCATCATTCTCTTCATACAATGTCCCTTACGTCCTTTTTACATTAATTGAATATGTATGAAGAATGTCTTGTTTTACCAACAATAAAAGCAACATCGGCATCAACAAAATTTTACAACTGCACATAGAACTGAACTTTGACAATGCATACTTCATTCAGTTTCCAACAAACACAATGGCAACACAACAACAAACTTGTACGCATTTTATTTACACTCAACGTTTTGTTGGCAACATATCCATTTGTCGTTGCAGTTGTCGCAGCTTTTCTCAATTTTCTACACTCATACACTCATAGTCAACATTATCCTCATTCTTCAGTAATTAATCATTTCCTCATCATAATCGCAGCACATAGATCTATGTGCTTTGGCATTGCTTAATGTTGGCCTGCAAATTGTTGTTGCCGTGGTTGTTGTTCTTGCTGCGAAATGTCGTTTAATTTTGTCAAATTGAATTCGTAGTCATATCATTATATCCTAATGAACATTGCTAAATGTCTGTGCTGCCCCGTCATTTTGTTAGTTGGCGACTGCTTTGACTGAGTGCCCCTTTGCATATGTAGCTAGCTTGTTTCCTGTAGTTGTTGTTAACATTGCTGTTATGCATTTATGAAATCTAATTTACATAAAATTTCATTTGACAGTTTAAGATTCATATTATAATTTAGTGATACAGAATATCATATTTTCTGAAAGAAAAATATCGCATATTCGAAAATCAATTTGGATGTTTTATTCATTCCGAGAGGAATAGCAACTTTTGGCTTCAGTATGACTACATTGATATGGTGAATAGGTACAAAATAATACGTCGAATAGCATTTGTAATTAAAATAATCCATTGCTTTATTCATACCATAAGGCTACACACTTATTTTGACTACATAATGTATTACCTCACTAGTTTCATTTAAAAATGCTTTAACTTTAGGTGACGATTCTTATGACTACGTTCGTAGACGTAGCGAACGTAGAAAATAAAAATGACGTAACGTTAAAAAGGATGATTAGTTATGACAGAATTTACACAAAGCAAAACAGCATAAAAGCACAAACAGAAACTCAATTCAATCACCAAATATATTACCTTAAAAGAAGTGCAATGCAATAGCATAATATTCATATCAGCTGATATAAGTTCTCCCCTACGTTTACGACGAAAACTCAATTGGTTCTTACGTTTCTTTATACTTTTCCTTGGGAACGAATAATAGAATGCATTGTTTTCCATAAAGTAAAATGAATAAGCTGATTTTAAACATCACCACGGATTCATTCTTCAAGTCCAAGAATTAAAACTAAATTAAAACTAAATTAAAACTAGGAGGTGTGTTGACCTTCAATAATGGCCGAAATACACGGTACCAAAGATTAGGTTTCTTTTGAAAATTTAACTCTTTCATAGGCGTATGTAATATTTTTCATTTAAAGAACGGTTTATTTTAAATGATTTAATTTATTATGCACTTTCTAAAATATAACGTTAAATATTGCAATATATGCTTAAGTTGGTTATAAATTAGCCAATTTGTAGTTTCCTTAATAGTTGGTTTTTGCTCTTTTAGGCATATACTATTGTAGTACGTTATTAACACTTTCTGACTACTAGATGTAACATACATATACCAATGTGTACAACAACAAATTGGGTAAAGTTTAACATAATATATCATTAAAACTAAATCAATTGGTATAGTTCGTTCGAATTTTTCTGGTACCAAAGTTTGATAATAGTTTGTTCTAAAATTCACTATTATGAGATTTGGCAAGGAACAAGTTCAAGTAGTAGTACTTACAGTCTAAAAAATTATTTACGAATGATTGAATATAAGATATATTTCCAAATAAAAAGACCAGTAATGATGGATATTTAGAAATATTCGAAATAGCTGCATAGTCAGCAAAAAATCCTATTAATTAAAAGTAGTAAAATTTTGTTGTTGTAATTGAAAGCCCAAAATTCAATTCATATCAAACAGTAATTTTTGTTGTTATAATTCACTACCATTCAATACTATTCAATAGATAATAATTATCGGTAAGAAAACAAATTCTTTCATAGTAATTGACTTTAAAATCAAATTTAATGTAAAATTAGTTGTTAAATCGCTGTATCTGGAAAACCGGAATCTTCTCCCATAACTTTATTCACTAAAACATTTAAAACAGAGTGTAAAAATGTCATCACTTTTGAGTGAAAAATAAAACCTTTCGGTCAAAATCTAAACTTAAGATCAATGTAAGATATAAGTCACAAATTGAAACCGTGTCTACAGTCGAGTTGGCTCAACGTTAACTAATCTTGACCAATTCGAAGCTTAAACCGTAAGTAAACAAAATTTTAAATATGGTTAGTCATTATAATATTAAAAATGAATATTTTTTCTATTTTAATTTTTAAGTTGTTAATATTAAATTAAAATTCTAAAAATTTTGAAAATTTTATAAAGAATTAAATGTAAAAAAATTTTACACATTTACATTCAAATAATATATTTCATGAGCCCTTTTAAAAAGAAAAATATTATAATGTCAATTTTTTTCTTGCCGAGAGTGACGAAAAGAAACTATTTAAAAGTTGGACGGATTCAAATAGCAAAGAATTCACACGGACCAAGGCCATCATCAGTTGTCTTAGCAAATATTCAAATTTCTTAATTAGTTTATAGTCCATATATAAATTATATGGTTCAAGCAAATTATAAACGAACTATAAATTAATTGAAAAAAAATTCGAATATTTTCTGAGACTACTGACAATGAGTACTTGGTAATACTCGAGAAAGCGTTTAATGGTCAGCCAAACTTCAATAAATTAACTAAATTTTTGCTTTTGTCTTTTCATTGCTATTCAAATCCGTCAAATTTAGAAATAAATTTAATTTAAGTAAATTAAGTTTTTAAACATTTAAAGCTAAATTACGAATTCCAACTACATAAAATCGATTGATTTTATTTGGCAATATACAGCAATAGTGCGTAGTAACAATAGCTTTGGAACACGATACCTCGATTTACAATTTGAAAACAAACTATAAAGCATAAATTTTCAGAAATTATCTTTTGCATATTTAAAATGCACGCCGTTTAATTAAAAACGTGTGGGTATTAAAATCCATAAATACTAAAAATTCCATATTTTGACACAGCAACTCGTGCAAACAATAAATTTATATTACAACAAAAAACAGCTTAAATCAAAACAATCTACCCAACAATGTGCACAATTAAGTGGCGGGATTAGAACTAATTTGAATGATGGCAACAAACATGCGGCGGCAAGTGCGCACGCCGCTGATACCGCTGATGCCGATGATGCCGATGACGCCAACACGTTAACAATCCACTTGCACGTGTGTGGCCGCAACCGAAAGATACATATCACAATGGCATCAATGGCAATTACAATATACCGACAACAACCACAACAACAACAACAACAACAACAGTATGAATTACAATGCTGCCAAATACAAATTTGACGACAAAAGGATTTGTGTTGATAACATTACTCGTAAAACTTTAAAACCGCTTTATCTTTTTTTTTTGTTTTGCAAATTTAAAAGCGGCTGTGTCTACACTGCTTTATGCTTTATATCCTTTTGGTGTAATTTAAATAAAACATGACGTCGACGCAGAACCCACATAATCCTGCCGAAGAACATAAAAATAGAAGGCTGAGGCTGAGCAAAAGTTGAAAAAACTAGCTGCCAAACGGAAAAAAGTAAGGTTCGAGCATACGCAGCCATTTTTTCATACTTAGTACTGTTATTTGGTCTTAAAATCCACTGGATTTGCGTTTCAATAAAAATGCAAATTCTTATTCCTTGCTCCTTTTTTTCAATGTTTTCAACATTTTTATCAGTTTGTATGGTAAACCGTACGTCATGTTTTAATATGTCGCAGTTGGTGTGCTACTTTTTGCTACTTTTTTGGTCCTTTCGCAAGGATACCCGTACTGTGAATGCAGTTTAACATATTTTTGGAGTGTTTTTATCTATGCTTAATTTTTTTCAATGATTACTTTTAGCTACTGAAATATACTTATTTGGTCAATTACCTTTACTTGTGACTCTGTCATTCCTAAGGCATACGCTAGTTTCGCTCTCTCTGGTCCAGCCAGATATTTTGTCTGTTCGAAGGTCTTTTCCAGCGCAAATATTTGTTGACCACTAAAAGTTGGGCGGGTATGTTTCTTCTTGCCGTCTTTATCGTTTGATTGATGGTGTTGATGTGATTGCGAAAGATTCGCAGACACTGAAATATAGTAAGAAGCATTAACATAAATATATTTTTTATTATCATTTTAATCAAATATTGTACATATATACATTATTATAATACACATAGATTTATAACTAAATATTATTATAAACAATAAAAATAAAAAAAAGGTATTTATTTAAGCATATAAATTTAAAAAATGTATAATTTTATGCAGTTACCCTGATTATAGGAACGCACTTAGTGAAATATCTGTGTAAATTTATCAATTTGCTGTATAATAGCACTATTTATATCAACAATAATTATAACAGCAAAAAATGCAATGCTCAGCAACGCAATTTCTTAGCCAATATCGTTGCAATTTCAAATATTTTTATGTATTTCAATAAATTATAAAATAAAATACCGAAATTGAGCGAAAATTCCAAACTTAAAAGTATTTACAAAGATATTTTAGTAACTGACTTGCTTGTGTTGATATGCAACTCTAAATTTATATAAAATTTTCATGTAAATTCAAGTTTGCGTAAACTATTTTTCATATAAAATTGACACTTCATTTATCAAGATGATAAATTTATACGTTTATAAGATTTATAAGGCATTTATCAGTTTACATGAGTACCCCTAATAACTTTTTAAACGTACTCAGATCGCAATATTTAGTCATGATATGCCTACATCGACGTTGAAGTTTTATAATATTTTAGTATTATTTAAAAAATAATAATAATTTATTATTTCAACTATGACGTATTATGTAAAAACAAGTAGGTATTATTGCAAAGGGTATGATCATTTTATTTATTTGATTGATTGCAATGCCTCTGCAAAAGTATAGTATTGAAATTAAATTATTAAAATATAAAAAATATAATTAACAAATTCTGAATTATGATTTCATTCTAATATAATATAGCAAGACAATTTGTTAATAAACTTGCTCAGCAAATTAACTAAACTCGAAGTTCGAATCTATAAATCAAGTACGGCTTTGGTTTAGTTAAACACTGACTCTGAGCTTTAAATTTGGCAGAGCACGAGTTCAAACCTTGATACCTGCAGTCTCAAAACAAAAAATTTACGAACATTTAAATATAAAAAATAATTTCAAGACTGATGATGCTTATTTGGCAATACTCGTAACAAGTGTACAGTCTGTCAAAAATTCAATTGTTTAAAAATAATAAAAACAAAATTTTTGTTGTTGCAATTTTACTACTCTAACAATTTAGTTTCTTTCGTCAAAACGGCTATTAAAAATCAATTTGATGAATTACAAAATTTTAATTCCATTAATACAAAATCTGAATGACTATTAGAAACTTTGAGATCGACAGATATAAAATGACAAATTTACACCTTTATTGCAATAAATACATTATAAGAATGTAAGAAATCCTATTTCAAGTCTATTTCAAGTTTTTTTTCAAATTAGAAATAAAAAGCGTTACTCAGAAAATGGACTCACTTCCTTCAGATAAAGGAAGAGCGTGCATCTAAACATAATACCTATGTGTGTGATACTTCATTCTTTTTCAACCAATTGCTTGAAATTTTAATATAAACAAATTAAATATTTATAAAATAATAAATGTTGTTATAATATTAATTATTGGTTTTTTTTGTTAATATACATATGTGTGGTTCATTAAAGGTCATATTTTGTATAATTTTTCAGTAGTTTGTGGCACCTCAAATAGGTTTAAAAAATAAAATGCTACAGACAGTTCTTAGTCCTTTGTAAAGCTTTAATATTTGGTTATTAGTAAGAAAAATTTAATGAAATATCTCAAAGGTGAAAAATTTCATACAAAAATGGCTGATGTTTGTATATTTTTGCTTACTAAATTTCACTGTTTGTTAAAATAAAAAAATTTTTACACATAATAACTTTATCTCAAGGTTTAAAAAAACAAAATTAGAGGCAAGCTATTTAGGCACCTATCTATTTATTGATTACGGGGCTTTAAAGTCGCTTATATTAATTCTTAATATAAATTTTTTTAATTTATTTATTTTGTCACTGCCAAACTTGCAACGATTTTATTATAAATTTGCATTAATTTTAAAAGTTCTTTTCTTTAAAGTATCTAAATTCAAATACAAAAATCCAAAAATAATACAAATTTTATCTTTTTTTAGGTTAAAGTAATTTTATTTCTTTATTATCATATTATGGATATTATTATATTTTTTATAATGACTTTTATAAGAAATTAACATTAATAAAATTTATTAAATAAATGTCTCTGAACTTTAAAATAATATGTAAATTAAATTTATATAAGATGATGAAGGCAATTTATTTGGCAATAAAACAAAATTTAATTGATTTTTCAGAACTTGTTAAATCATTTTCCATTAAGCCCAAAACTTTTGTTATTAAATGTTAATTCAATATGCAAACATTTTAAATTAACTTTTAAAAGCATGTTTACAACATTTTAAAAACTTTTTAAATTTATGCCATCATTATTTAATAATGAAACAATATCCAATGCCATAAACAGCAACGGTAAGAACGGCATTTGGCCCCGAGCTGAAGAGCAGAGAAGTCGAAGACACGGTGGCAATGTTGAGCCATGGTGAGTAATGCTGAGGTGTAAGGAAAAATGAACGAGAGCTTGCTTGAATGGGACAACGACAAAGTTTTGGCATTTATTAATTGTTTATATATGCGACATCGATTCGACACACACAGATGCTAATTTTACTTGTGTGTGCGACTTTATTCCCGCACTCCACAGTGAGGGGGTTGAAAGCAGTGAAAAATTATGACTATGTTAAAGCAATAAAATGATATTATTAAACCGAAATTAACAAATTCTGTTAAAATTATAAAAATTACGTATAAATAAATTTATGCAAATTATCTGTTAAATCATAATTTTATATAATTGCTTTCGTCATTAAACCTAAACGTAAAAAAACTTATATTACTATTACAAGTGTTGTTAAGCTAAACTGTTATATTTATAACAGTTACAATTTAGAAATGAATAATTTGATCATTTATTCATGGTTTTTATCTCCATAATCAGAGCATGCAAAAATTCACACGAAAACGGGATGCTGCAAAAAAGTCACATAGTCACGAAGTTCTTGTCATAAATTTTACATGCACTCGGAGAAAGGCATTCAAATAATGATTACGCACTAATTACGCATTCAAATGAGTCTGAATGGACATTCATTAAATATCCAATCCCCACCACAGCGTCCAAAGAGAACAAAACAATAACAAAAAATTACGCCAAATGATATCAATTAACAAACCAAAATTGTCCACAATTTAATGGCGTGTATTTTTCTTATAAATTTGGTACGACTAAAATCTGCACTAAATTATGCCTTCAACAATCCTGCAGAGGATGATGATGATGATGATGATCAGAATAATCGTGATGAAAATAATTTTGTTGTGAGAACAATGAAACAATAGCACCGCTTCATAAGCTTACCATACTCTGAGACCATTAAAAATGTGAAAATCAATTAAGCAAAATATAGAAAATACCTAAAGGACCTTTTTCACTTTTATAAGCCAATAAAACACAAGTAGAAGGAAATAAAATGAAACAACAATAAATAGAACAAGCACTAGGAGCTAAGCAGTACGCCCTCACGTCCTGCTTATTCCAGCAGTACCGTGTTATGCGCGCGCCCCAAGGTAACCATTAAATAAAGTAACGCCACGTCGAGAAATGGAAGTTGTTGTCACTGCAACCGTTTTGAGTGGTAGTCGGCAATGGCAGCAGAAACAACACAGGGTTGATAACTAAAGAGTATATGTGTATGTGTATTAGTGTGAGTATGAGAATATATTTGTGCCTTCATGTGGTTAAAGCAGCAACGATAGAAACGGTAGCAACGTCTACACTAAGGATGGCAACAGCTAAATGGTTTCATGTATATTTACAGTTAAAATTAACGTATTTTGTAAAGTGAGCAGTTGAACGAGCGGCCAATTAATGTCACCCCATTATTAAATGATCCCTAATTATGTGAAATGATTTAGCTAAATATGCAAGCATCAAGGATTAAATTGTTACTATTCTGTGCTTTTGGGAAATTCGTCCTTTTTTGTGGTGGTTACCCCCCTACCCACATATTCCACTTAATCACACAATTTCTCTGTCGTTTTATTTCATGTAGTCTTTATTGTTGTTGTCGTTGGTGTTGTTGTTGTTGGTGTTGTTGTTGTTGTTTGTTGTTTGTATCATAAAGTCAAAAATGTGTTTACGATTTAATGTATGAGTTGGCAGGAATTGGGCTTTGGTGGGTTACTTGTTTTATAGCAGAAGTCCTGCCTACACCTTACGTTTATATCCATTTCAAATTGTTTTATTTAGGACAACTAATTGGGTTTTATATAGGTATGTACTTGTTGTTGATATTATTGTTGTAGCTTTCGTTTGTGCTCTGTAGTAGCATTTATATGATATTTGGTTTTACTTTTTTTTTGTATATTAATAAATTTAAATATTTTGCTTGGTAAATATTTCTGTTGAATATATATAACATACATTTCGCTCTTGCCTCATCCTTTTTTACAATCCCTTTATGACACTTCAGTGAGGTCCGTTTTTTGTTTTCATATTAATATTTTTTATTTTATTCATCTTAAATCATTTTATTACTGTTGTATAAAAACACTCACTTGAATACATATCCATTTTAAGGATTTATCATCCATTTTAAAACTTTAGTGGGTCAAGGCAAGTCAAGTTTCTGTATTTTATTTCATTTAAATTAAATATATATATTTTTTTTTTATTACTGGTAACAATTACTTTCTGAGAAAGATTGAATTATTGTTCGTTTTTGAAATTTTGTGTTAAATATTATTTAAATAAATTAGACCAAATTTTATGTAAGTAAAATTTATTGAAAATTAATAAAATAAATTATTTTAATATACTTAATATTACATATTTCTACTAATAGTAGCTATTTGGTATTTGCCCATGCCACACTGGAGTAATTTTCAGGATAAATTTTGGTGCATAAATTTTTGATGCTTATTG